GATAATAGTATTATAGTACCAAAAGTATCTACTGGCTGACTGGGAATGTCCTTAAACTCCGCAACAAGCCCTAACAAATTCCCACTGGAGCTTTCTCCCTCAATATCGCAAAGGCATTCGACAAAATCTTCCACAGTAGCTTGTTTTACAAGCTATTCGCACTATATCAGGAGAGCACATCCAAGTCTTTCTGTCGATTCACTTCCTTAGTGATCGAGTATACTCAGCACTCTCTGCCTGAGTCGCCCTTTCACGTTCCTCAAGGGACTTTTTCTATTTTCGTTCTACATGTGCGACATTTAAGAGTCACAAGTCAATCTCGCTCTTTCCGCGAATACCTATAAGATAGCCATATAATGAATAATAAATAAATATTTTTAGGTAAATAAATATTTAACGGTGTTAGAGCCATGCAGCAGCCTCGGCTGTTGCATGTATGGGCAGGCTCATCCGGGTAAGTACCACGACCTCACAAAAGACCGGTGAAAATGTGGAAGTATAATACTATCGCGTTTCGTCTGGTGAGTGAGGTGGCCGGAGCCCAATTTTCAAAAGGTTGTCAACGGATCTGCAACCCTCGAGTGTAGCAGATGTCCATAGGCGGCGGTATTCACTTAACATGTGTGGTGAACCGTCTGCTCGTTTGGCAACTTTTCACATACAAAAATAAAATAAAATTTAGGACACATTTTTACACAACGTTCTCTAGTCCGAAACTAAGCAATGCTTTTACTATGGGTATATACGGTTTATGGACTAAAAGCAAAATCATCAGCCAAAGTAAAGAAAAAAGCGATATATGACAATATTTATTTAGACAAAGAAATTATAACTTCAAATTGTAAATTTTTGTAGATAAATGACCAACAACTCTCGCTGCTGCCGGATTCGAACCCGCGTCTTCTGTTTTCTAGCCCAGCAGACTCTTTACCAACTAAGCTAAGCGGCCGATGGTCACGACTGTGATACTTAATAAAGTAACTGCCTAGTCATGTCCCACTGCTGGGCAAAAGCGTCAGGTATCAGGGCATAATCCACTACGCGGCCCCACTGCGGATTGGCGGACTTCACATATCGTCGAAATATATATTTTTTTAATTTCGAAAATATGCAGTTTTCTCACGATGTTTTCCTTCGCCACTGAGCACGTGATAAAATCAGCACTTAAAATTAACAATTGGTGGCGGCACCGGGAACGAACTCAGGTAGCTAGAGTATTAGAGGAATTAAAGGCGAGTGCCCGGACACTGAGCTATCACGGCTCTTCTTCATTATAATCAATCAATTATTATCTCCTACTTGCCTCGATATACGGATATCATGAACATCAAGATGTCGAGAAACCCTGAAGTTCGTTGCTATTTAATATAGCCTTGTGAAATCTAATCGGCCTCAACTTTTAAAAAAAAATGTACTAAGTAACTATTTTACAAAATCACACTTTTTCATTTTAATGCGTTATTTTCTAAACCCAACTTTGCATTTCCAGGCTAAGGTAAAATTAAACGGGGCACCACAAGAGTAACAATAGAAAAGCAACAATGCTTAAAAGTGAATACAAACTGCCTTTTTAGAATAAATGAGCCGCAAAAATATTCATATAGTTGTGAATGCGGGTCGTTGAAAGGTATAATATGCATCGTAGAGAGATTTGCTCCAAGCAGAGCACAACCAAAGGCTGATGAGAATGATGATGATACGGTATACCTAGGTACGAGTATACCATGTCTAGATGACCAAAAATAGAGATTTGAGCAAATAAAGTAGCTTTCACATTGAGTATATGTGAAATAAGTCTCGAAGACAATACTGTTACGATTACGGGGTTCACGTCTTAAATGTCAACGATCCGTCGATGACAGTTTGAAATGACGTATACGATTTTATTTAAAAAAAAATTATTAAAAATGTAATTTTAATTTTAAAAAAAATTCGAATACCAGTACTTACTATAAAAGGGGCTCGGAGCGCGCTACGGCAGTTCAGTCGAAGAAACTAGGAAGCAGGAACAGGAAGAAGAAAGTGGAAAAGTGAAGTAAATAGTGAGTGAACAGTACAGTGGACAGTATAGTAGTGAACAGTGACGCGAAGTGACTAGTAGTGTAAAGGCGTACGCGGTGGGTTTGTGCGGTAACATGAGTTTCGTTGCACCAGTGGACGCGTACGTGGAGATTGGTGCGAGAGGGGGCGCACCGGCAGTCGGGTCACTGTAAGCTTGGTGCGGAACGAGAGAGTCGTCGCCCCGGCCGATACTACCAGTAAGGTAGTACTAGAGTGGTGTTGAGGTATCGATCGAATAAAGGTACCATTTAAATGACCGGCGTTTTACTCCAATCCCGAACCCCCAGCTCGTAACAATACTTTAAACTTACATGTGAAGACAAAATTGAATTACAGATGCATTATTCTGTTCACATAAACACTTCGGAAAAAAATGAAATAAGAAATAAGCCGATTTATTATTCTCATAATGTAACCGAACTTACGGTATCTTACCTTTGTAATTTTTTTTTCATGTGAAAAGTTGCCAGGCGTGCAGGCGGTTCACCTGATGTTAAGTTAATACGACCACCCATGGACATCTGCTACACCCGAGGGTTGCAGATGCGTTGACAACCTTTTGAAAATTGGGCTGGAAAGTGTCATACTTCTACTTTACGTCGGTCTTCTGTGAGGTCGTGTTACTGACCCGGACGAGCCTGCCCATTCGTGCAACAGCCGAGGCTGATGCGTGGCCCTACCACCGTTTTTAATTAAACCGTTATCAATTGCATTTATTTTATTTTTTACAAATAAATAGTACTGGAAGAGGGGATAAAGTTTGCAATTATTATTCTTTTGTAACGCTAAAGAGATACTTACGTCCATACATAAGTACACAGTTTTTTGGAAAAATTTGGCCACTTTGTGGAATAATTGGTTGCCAGCGGTGAAGCGAATTAATAATGACTCCGTAGCGCAATTGTCAAGGTAATTTTTGAATTTTTTAAAGTTTTGATTTGATTTTTGTTAGTAGGATTGTTAATTCCCTTTGACCGCGCGGGCGAAGCCGTGTATAACAGCTAGTGAGACATAAATCTGATACGATTGTGTTTCTAACTGAATTGAATTGAACAGAATCCGAGGATTATGCACTGAATTTTAGTCGAGACGGAATCGATTTTGGATTTGAGAAGGTCTCCATCTTTTCTTGTACAAGGTTTTTTTTTGTTAGAATTATCGTCCTTTATGTGCAGATAAAAAGGGTTACTCAAAAGGTAGATAGATATAAGGAGTAAAAAACACAAATGTAATTTTGCTATTGGCAAAACAACTCAGGATAGGGGGTCGTCTACTCACATTAAAACATTGACAGAAAAAGGCCGTTGAATAGAAAGATAAATAATACGCGAGTTATGCTATCTATCTGTTACCCAAAATGGAATTGAATTTAGAATTGATGAGAAGTTTAAATGATAATAACATTATCGGTAGACTGCCGAAGGAAGGTCATGAACCATTTTTATCATTAATTGCGATGTTTAAACATTAAATCATAAAGCATAAAGACAAATTAAACATCGCGATTTGGTTAAGTTTCATTATTTTCTGGTAGGTTATTATAAATTCGCATAGAGTTGAATATTGGTCCAAATGTTCCATTATAAATGAAATTCAATTAAAAAAAAGTCCCCTTTTGACATACATGCAAAAAAGACATGCAAAAAAAATATTCAAGGTCATAGTGGGCCAATATATATATATATTATTATATATTAAATATATTATTATATTATTATATTATCTATAAAAATTGTCTCTAAAATTTTTCTCCGAAATGCCACAGTTTCTGAGATGTAATCGTTGAAAAAGCTGAAAAAATTTTCTTCTTCATAATACGAGTATGCATACGAGTACGTCGGGTACCATTACTGGAACGGTAATATAAGTAAAAATTTCATTTTAGTATAACTTCAAGTTAGTATAACTCATAAATACAAAATAGTATAACTATGGGAATATAAACTCGAGAGAAATTTAGTCCCTCATCTTTCGTTTCCTGCAGGGTAAAACAACAGTTTTCAAAACTTTTGTGAAACATCATTTAGATAATTGTGCTGAAGTTTTTATAAAAAGCTTTTTATCAAAAACGACTTCAATAACCTCTATGAGCACTAAAAAGTTTAAAATAATACTGTCCTCTAACAACATTTAACAATTTTTGGAGTTGGTGCCAAGCCAAGTATCTGAACATAAAATGATTCTTTTTACTTTGTTACACAAGTTAGGTGTATAAAATACATACTTAAATACGTAATCTTTTAGCCTATTTTTTTAGATAGCCGCAGTATTGATTGTTGCTTAGCTTCTTTCTGTTTTTAGCAAGGTGTTATGGTGTACAACCATTTCACAAAACTAAGAACAAAGTTGAACAATAGCAGAGACTCCAAAACTGAGTAATAATTGTGTGGCTCAAAAACTCATCAATACCCATTCAAGAAGAAACCCTATTCAGTGTATTAAAAGTTAAAACCCTCTTGTCGTGTTTTCTCAATGAGAATAATCACATTTAAATTTAAAGTTTTAAGTTTCCAAATTGTGTTATTAACATGAATATAAATTAATAAATACAGAGAAACAGTTCAGGTTATATACAGTACTTAATAAATATTTTACGTATATACGATACGATATAGTATATATAAATGAAGAATTCGAAGTTAATGTGTGAATCGAATATATTATCAGTTCAGAGGTCAACGATATGAGGTGCAGATAATTTGCTCTCAGTTTACAACCAAGTGTATTTCTAGTCTTGTGAAAATGTGACGTAGTTCACACGCTAGTGAGAAAATTTCATTTATACAGTGAAGTGAAAAGAAAACTTGCTTTTTGTTAGTGCGGTTGATACAAGTCTCATCAGTTAATCCTTAAAAAAATGACATTTGTATCTATTGCGCGTGAAACTTACTTTCGTCAGAGTATTCTACCTAATACTGTTCTAGTAGTTGGCCTCAAAAATGAAGTTATTAGCGGTACTTAATATAATTGTGCTACTAAGGACTGAGTGCGGTATTGCATTTGACAGCTACGAGGATTACTTTGAAGATCCCATCTTAAACTATCTACTGAATGGTAATGAAACGGAATTGTCAGAGTTTAAAGATGGAGGCCACGGGGAGTTAAATGACGGTAGGCCGCCATTTATTATGGATTATATTTATATTTATTAACTAACACTGGAACAAAATCAGTGTGTGGTTACATTACTAGTAACCTAACAAACGTTGAACAATAGTATCGTCATATATGGCAGATTATGCTTCCGAATTTGCTAAATAAAAATTGAGTCTTAATTTTATATATTAATTAATTTAATACAAATATTCTTCACATTCTAAAACTTAGCAAAGCTTAAATCTAGATAGCCCTATAAACCAAAACAATAATAATATGAATATGTAAGTTACAATTTACAATTTTAGGACACATTTTTACAAAACGTTCTCTAGTCCCAAACTAAGCAACGCTTGTACTATGGGTACTGTATAACTGATAAACATACTTAAAGATACTTTTTTTAATTGAATTTATTCAATGAATATGTAGTAGTAATATATTTAATTTTTCACTATAACTGTTTGAAATTTTATACTATTTTCGATGACTGGTGAATTGAAACGACTTTTATATTGTCATTATTGTGCATAATTAGTATAAACCATATTGTTTAAATGGTACATGGGTTAATGTTAATGGCTGACTAGCTACATTTGTAGTTATAATATTGTAATTATACGTATGCTTTAGTTGAATTTGGCGTATTTAGACGATTATTATGTCAACTAAATAAATAACAGTTTAAACTAAAATACACACTTGATTAATTTTTGTTTGTAAATCACACTATTGATAATTTAATTTTATTATAAATTATTTTTTACTTTTTATGATCTATAAGCTATATTATTGTGAAGTTTCATTAAAATCCGTTCAAACAAACAAATATCCATCCATACATACAAACTTTCGCCTTTATAATATTAGTAAGGAAGTAAGGAGTTTTTAGTTAATATAAAAGCGTGTTTTTTTATTTTATAAACATTTTTAAATGCGTACTTGGTACAAGGACACTACCACTACTATTTAAATTATTGCAGTCGCATGGGTCTTTGAGTGTGAAAAGTTTGATTCAAATCTGATTGTTAAAGATTCCTTTACAACCATACATACAGTCAAACTAATATAGTCGTGTTTAAAAGTAAGGTAGTACAGCTTATACAAGTCCCACTGCTGGACCAAGGCCTCCTCTATACAGAAGGTATTCTGTATAGGTATTCTCATATCTTCTAAGATATTTCTTGCTTGCTATTATTTCGAAAATATGCAGGTTTCCTCACGATGTTTTCCTCTTCCGCAAAGCTAGTGATAATTTAATTGGTGCTGGTACCAGGATATAAACTCAGGTTGCTCAAGTATAATGATTTAAAAAATGAGAGTCCGGAAACCAAATTATCACAGCTCACATGATATAGAAGTTCCATTATGGCCATTATTGACAAACAAATATAAAAGCGACAATTATTATCAATCATAAAACGAGTATATCGGACTAAACGTCTCTCTTGACTGAGCATGAAATAAGAACTTTGTTTTTGAAATTATAAAACATCTATCTTCTAGGAAGCGAGCCGGTACTTTTTGAGGGAATTTGGAAATGTGGAAGTTGCGATGATATCGATGAAAATAGAGAAATATATAGTGAAATGAATGATGTCGATACGAATATTGCCAACGATAACTTTTTACAAGTGCAGGTAGGGTATGCTATTTACATATATTTACTATGTTAATTAATTTCTTAAGATCAAGAAATCTATACTTTTTTATGTTAAAAGTTGCCAAGCGAGCAGATGGTTCACCTGATGTTAAGTGATAACCGTGTCACACGGACATTTACAACACCGGTTGCTTCACCTTTTAATAATGTGTGCCCCGGTTACCTCACCGGCTTTCTCACGAGACAAAACGCAGAAATGTAACACTTCTAATTTACGCCGGTCTTCAGTGAGCTCGTGGTACTTACCCGTACGTGCCTGCCTATTGTGCAACAGCCGAGGCTGCTGCGTGATCCTACCACCGTTTAACTTTCCCGCTTACGCATATACCAACTTATAGACCAGATCTTTAAGTTGGTACATGCGTCTTTGTTACAGTTATAGCAGCAGAGTTTTGCATCACTCCTGTTATAAGTTTTTTCAGTAGTGCTAATTAGAAAACATTACCAATACCTAGCCAGTTCATAAGTTCTCTCACATGTTTATTGTGAATTAATTGAAACGTTTTTTTTTTAAGTGAACGATCAGGCGGTTCACCTGATCTTAAGCGATAACCGCGTCACACCGACATATACAACACCGGTTGCAGGTTTGTTGCCACCTTTTAATAATGTGGGCCCCGGTTACCTCACCGGCTTTCTCACCAGACAAAACGCAGGAATGTAACACTTCTAATTTACGCCGGCCTTCTGTGAGGTCTTGGTACTAACCCAGACGGATCTGTCCACGGTGTAGTTTCTTCATGCTTGTTTATACAGTAATCATTTATGTATAATAAAAGGTACTTACTAAAACGTAGATTCTTATGCTGAACAAGCTCATTAAGAACGCCCACGATTTTGAATACAAGCCTTCAACCTGCATCAGTCGTCTACAGCAGAACACACTAGGTCCATATCAATATCGACGGCTGCTTTGATCAATGATATCTGGAGAGACTCCAAATCAGGATCAGGCTTTGAGCAAGCCTTTTTCTATCAAGGAATGCCATATTTTATAATCCAGCCCATTTAAGTTTTGATTCTAGGAGGGCCAGTCTTCGGGTCGGATAAAGTCAATTTCTAACGCCGCTAGCTAAACTATAACAGCTTAACTTTAACTCAATTTGTCCCATTTTCATATTACAATATTTTGCTAAACTTTTACTTTCCAAGCTCTTATCTGTTTTTATTTGGCTGGAGAGAACGTTATTACACTTTCGTACAGTTTAGTGTAATAATAGTTAACACAAGGCTAGGTGACGCCTCGTTGCTCGTAAGTAAGAAGCGAATTGCAGCTGTTACTAACGACTCTTCGTTGAATATGGGACTGGGCATAAATTGACTTATTAATTGACTCTAACCGAAAAGTAAATTTTTTATTGTTAAAACATCTTAGCTATTTACATATAATATTCTAACTGGACGATGATTTCTACTTAAAAACGTACCAATCTCACTATAGTTTATTTCTGGATCTGAAAATAGAAGTCCAATAGTGACCAGCTTCGATGGAATTTCTTTCACCGATTTCCTCTAGAACACTATTTTATCATGCTTTTTATTTTAGCCAATTCTTTTTCAAAAATGATTATATCAAAAAAATATCACAGTTTCTGAGTCTTGTTGATTTTGGTACTGACAATATCAAAAACTTCCCCCGACTCAAGATCGTAATGTATTTGCAAATATTTTTGAAACTCAATTCTTTTCATTTAGCCTTATTGCATAAGAAGCAAGGCAAATAAAAAATGTTTGATGTGCAGTGAAATAATGCAAATTTCGACTTTAATTAAAATTAAATAATAATTTAACTAAACAGTATTTTAATACATTTTATTTAATTTTTGATTTTTATTGTCGATTAAAGATCACAGCTCCTATGATTCTATGCCCCATTATGGCCTATACGATACAGAACTAAAAACATAAATAAAAACCATAAAAACACAAATAAAAAAGCGACAATTATTATCAATCATAAAACGAGTACATCGGACTAAACGTCTTTCTTGATTGAGTAAGAAATAATAACTTTGTTTTTGAGATTATGAAACATCTATCTTCTAGGAAGAGTGTCGGTACTTTTTGAGGGAATTTGGAAATGTGGAGATAGATAGATGTGCAATTCTGGAACTATAATTTTTTGCTTATGTTTTAATTAATTACCCGTACTATTTTCAGATTGCTTGTTTCAGATTGGTCTCGCGTTTGAAGAAATGCATTGCGTGACAATTCAGTCAGATGAAGAGCTCGAGGCGAAAATAATTACTGGCAGCTGCGCTGGACCAACTATCACTATAGCGGTCGCCAACGCACGTCACTTTGTTGTTAGGGTGTACGGAGAATAAATAATTTTGTTGGAAGGATAATAAGACAGTTCTTTTGTCTGAAGACAGATGATTTTGTTGTTATGATCCTGGTAGCGGGAATGAATAAACACACTTCACTCATTTACACTACAATTTTCTGAAAAACGTCAAGCCGTTGGGTACCTTATTTCAAAATATTGAAAAATCCTCCACAAAATGACGTTATGATAAAATATTGTAAATATTTATATAGTGAAATGTGAGACATGTGGAAATCGCTGCAATGAAATTGGCTGCAGCAATACTGAGGAACTGTACTTGTGTACACTGAGTGAGTTTGTATACATTGCGATTCAAATAACAAAAGAAATTTCAAAAATGATAGGTAGAAAATTTATAAGATATTTTCGTAATAATATTTATTTACAAACAATCTTTGTGTTAAAAGCATTAATTTTTATTGCAAAAAAGTAATTTTGTTGAGTGTCTAGCACTGTAGCTCTGCTTGTTTCTGAGAAGACATGATTGTCATATTAAATAAGACGTCAAAAATGTCCTTTCGGAACAAGGCGACTTTATATAAGGCCGAAGTTCGCCCTATAATGCGTACGCAAGTCCGGTTTTCACGCACATGGCTCCGAAGCAAATACGCCAGCTAGGGCTCGTTCAGAATCGATTCTTGCGCAAAACTATGGGAGCACCGTGGTTCATGCGCAACTTCGACTTACATGTTGATCTATAGCTGTCCACAATCGCTCAACTCCTGAAGTCGGCGTTGCGTCGCTACTTCGAGTCTGCCGCCGCGCATCCCAAACAAGTCAATAAGGCGTAGGTGCCGTCACTTACCTGCTGTTAGGTGCGTTTCACCGCAGTTGGCGTAAATTACGACATGTCCTCGATTTCCCTGATAACGAGACGACTATCACCATTGCCAGGATTAAACAGTGACGCAAACACACCAGAACACACCGCCACGTACCAGGCAGGTTTTCCCCCGTTAATGATAGAAGCGTTGCTGGAGTTTCTTCTGCCACTTTCTCTCCAAACGCAAATGCTTTTCGAAATGGTAGTAGTGATAGCTTTAGAAATTCTCCCACCCAGACTACAGCTACCGATCGAGCTGAGGTTGGGCCCTCTCGGCCATACTCGAGTCGGAATACGAAACGGGTATTGAGTGATAGCCCAAGCCGAGGTCCCTTCTCAGAGGCGCTTGAGCTTAGTCACTGGATGAAGCGTCCGCCAAAGCGACCTAAGAGCTTGGCGGCCTCCCAAATCGGTGAATATAAATAGCGTCATGGCCCAAGCCAACAAAAAACTTTGCGCCGGTCTCCTGTGAGGATGTGGTACTTACCCGGACGAACCTGCCTATTTGTGCAACAGCGAGAACTATTGCGTGATTCTAACTCAGTTAAAATTTCGTACTTTTCCTCTTTTTAGATTGTGGTCATTCCTATACATAGCTGAAACGCATTATAATGACTAGTCGCATAATAATGCGGTAATTAACTTCGGTGGGGCCACGCAGGGGCACGAATGGGTAGGCTCGTCCGGGTAAGTACCACGACCTCACAGAAGACCGGCGTAAAATGGAAGTATAATACTTTCGCGTTTCGTCTGGTCAGTGAGGTGGCCGGAGCCCAATTTTCAAAATGTTGTCAACGCATCTGCAACCCTGGGGTTTAGCAGATATCTATGGGTGGCGGTATTCACTTAACATCAGGGAACCGTCTGCTCGGTTGACAACTTTTCACATAAAAAAATTTACATTAAAACAATTTAGAACGTGACACAAAACCTGCCATTTCAACTTTAAGGCTGCCTGGATTTTTTATGCAACAGCGTTCGCTGTTGAGCGAATGGGCAGGTCGGTCCGGGTTAGTACGACGACCTCACAGAAGATCGGCGTGAAGTAGAACTGTTACACTTTTGCGTTTCGTCTGGTGAGTGAAGATGCCGAGGCCCACTTTATTAAAAGGTGGCAACGCATCTGCAACCCTATGGGTGACATAACATCAGGTGAACCAGCCCGTTTGCCACTTTGTCACAAACAAAAATCAATGATCATGGACGTGATGCTTAAAAATCTTCAGACGACAAAACGAATAGCCAATGATATTATTATTAATACGTCATCATCGGTAAAGATCAATCATCACAAAACATCGTTATAATGAGTAGTAATGAAGTTTTAATTACTAGAATTTTACGTTAAAAATACATTTGTCAAATGTCGTATAAAGAATGTACATTTTATAAAAAAAAAAAAAAACTTGAAAGTTTACTTTAATATGAAACAATTTGTTTTAAATTACTTGTGGGTACCACAAAGCACTTTAAATCCCAAAACAATTTATTTATAAAAACGACCTTTGGCGGACATCTCCCAATTGCAAATTCTGAACGACAAATGGCTTGCGTGTTGTTTTTGTTTCTTGAGTGTACATGTTACAGAAAAAAAAAATTATCTTCACATTTCAGCGTATTGATGGTAAATTTGGTTTCTTATTTAAGTGCGAGAGTGAATAAAATATCTAGTGACGATAATGATGCAATATGGACTGTATTATATAGTTTCGGGACACACCGAGACTATAAGATTCAACTTGGAAAGTGTTAAATACGTTTATCCTAGTTCAGAATTAGTAAATTGGGTAAAAGTACCACATGCTAAGCTAATAAGCTAGTAAAAAAATGTATGTAGTAATTTCAAATACTAATGTCGCGGTATTTTAATTTTGTCACAACAGAAATACGATAAATGTTAAATTGAAACAATAACAGAAATCTGTGAATCATAAAAATAATTCGGTTATATTGATACCTATACACTTTTGCTATTTAAAATGAAAATAGATTTTTAAGTAAATGAACCTAAAAGTGGATAGAGCATGTTAATTATTATCACTGCCAAACTAAAATTTAATTTAATATCAATTAACTTTACAAATTAATAATATTTCAAATGTTAGAAATATATGTTTAGAGCGTAATAAATCTTTTGGTTTTGAACAACTTATTTTCAGAAAACTGATCCGCAAATTTAGAAGATTACCGATCTACTTTTCTATGATCATGAAGTACGAAGAAATGCAAATAGGTCACAGTAAAAGTTTCCGGAACTGACCACTTACATAAACAACATTTAAAAATATTACAACATTTGAAAATGAAAATCGTAGTATGATTTTATACGATTTTAAGTGTAATTTTACAGTTCAGCAGAGCTTCGCTCGGTTTCAATCTTCGTTTGGCGACGAAGCAATAATAAAACTGGACACGTGGCTAATGTTGTTTTAGAGAATTGTCGTACTAGTACACGAGCATATTTTGTTTGTCGAAAGTTATTGACGAACTGTGTAAAAATAAGCGCAAACACCGTATCACCTTGCACCACGACACTCCTAGTTCCAACACGGCCAGACAGACAATCAATTTTTGAAGATGAAAAGCGTAGAACTTATAACCTATCCTGCATACAGTCCCCGCCTGGAACCTTGTGATTTTTTTTCTATTCCCAAAAATTAAGAACAAATTACGCGGTTTACGATTTTCATCGCTAGAAGAGGCTTTCTGAGAAGTGGCACAAATGTTTTCAAAGTTGGCTTAATCGTATAAAAAAGTAAAGTAACAGCCTATACATGTCCCACTGCGGGGCAAATGCCTCCTCTATAGAGAGGGTATCAAGGCATAGTCCACCACGCGGCCCCACTGCGTTTTATCGGACTTCACATATCTTCGAAATATATATTTTTTGTTATAGGTTTCCTCACGATGTTTTCCTTCACCGCGGAGCACGTGATAAGTCAGCCACTTAAAGTTAAAAAACTTCATTGGTGCCGGCACCGGGGATCGAACTCAGGTTGCTCGAGTATATTGAAATAAAGACGAGCGCCCGGACACTGAGCTATCACGGCTCTAAATAGAGCTTAATCGTATGAAAAAATATATTTACGGGAAGAGAAAAACAATAAATTCATTTTTGATTTTTAATGGTATTTTTTTCTAATTAATTCCGGAAACTTCGCAACGATAGTAGTATAACTTCAACAAGTAGATACAATTTAAAAAACTAAACAATCAGACTGCGTTTCTGTGTCATTTGGAAATGATTTTGATATACCCAGTGTCATTCTCACAGTAAATAAGAATCTAACGGCACCTTTCAAGATAAAATCCATCAATCCGTTCAGGCTGCAGAGCGTGCCAAACAATTATACATACATACATACATAATTATTCTCTAAAAAATAACCCTCCTTCTGGCGCAGTCAGGTAAAAACCATCCATCACTGTTAAACTCACGTTTAGAAAGATGTAATTAGTTTTATCTTGCAGCATATATTACTTGATACTAGTATTTGTAAAAGTTTAAAATGAATTAAGGGACTGGGTTGACGCACGCAATGACTTAAAAGTGTTTGTTGCTTAAAATCAATGAGTTTTTGCACGTACGACTCGTGAAAAATGGACACATTGGTTGGACACACTGGAATTCGACTATGACCATTGGATGTATATTGAACTTCGATGTGTAAACCGTCCTAATTTTGCATTTAATGTAAGGGTTTGCGACGAACGTCTTACTTTGCATACAACATTGCAGTAGCAACAATGGCTGTATGCAAAGAAAAATAAAAGTCCACTGAAATGTAAATAATACTTTGAAGATAGTAAGATTATTACAAAGTATTGTTCTTTGAAAACGTTATTTTAATTTGTATTGTATACAATATTTGTACTGCACAAGTATAATTATTAACAAAAAAAAAACCGACTTCATTCAGAAAATTAATTAAAAACATTGTTAATGCCTATAACATTCAATGAAGGTCCTCGATTTCTCTGGGATGCCATCATCAGATCTGGTAGCACCCTTGGGATATCTCCTTTCCGATAAAAAAAAATTCCTCCTCCTTTTTGAAGTCGGTTAAAAAGCAAGCGATACGGGCTGTCTATGGCTTGGGTCCACGTGAGTCACAACGGCATGTGTTTAAGCAAATGAACGTCTTAACGCTCCCGTCGCTATACATACTCGAGAACAGGCTTCTATTAATACATTCTACAAGCCGCTGAAGAAAATGAGTCAGTTTTTACCATCTGTCAAGTGTAATATCCCTCTGCAAGATCCAGGAGTGTACAAACTTGACTGTGAATGTGGGCTCTCTTACATAGGACAAACAAAAAGAGCAATAAAACCCGCGTGAAAGAACATATAGCTGACATAAAACATAGCTGATTGAACAAGTCTGCAGTTTGTGAGCACACCTTAAATCGGCCCAACCACTACATTAGGTTTGATAGACCACATCCTTCTCTTCTTCCTCTGATCCTTATAAAAGAACACCGCTTGCTCCCAAGGATGATTCGCGAGGCTATTTAAATTAAAAAACACCCTCTAATTTCAATGGGGAAGAGGGTTGGGTGCTGCCATCAGCTTGGGATCCTATCATCAATAAAATTAAATCTAGGCTCAAACGACCCACTACTGCAAGACAAGATACAATTAGTTCCCTCTGCATAGATCGGACACAAAATTAATAATTCAAAAACTGACGGTAGCCCGGGTTAACCATGACAATCAGACGTCCTACGCAGTCTGTGACGTGACCATGAACGCTGTAAAGAGTTCGAAACGTCGGGAATTAAAATTAAAAATAAATGCGATAAATCCGTAAAAATTAGTTTCATTTACAAAATAACATACGCTGGACATGCCAAGGTTTAGATTAGCTAAAACCAGGAAATAGTTTCTTGGTAGATGAATTAACTTATAATATAATTAAATAGGTCACATCCACAAATAATTATTATTATTAGAAATTAATGTAAACAACTTCAAACATTATGCTAAAGCTAAACTAAAGGCAAGAGCATTAAAGGCATTATTATTATGATATTATTTTGTTTCTGCGTGGATCGGAATAAAAATAAACAAAATAATTGACGGTATCCGGGGTTAACTATGACATCAAGACGTATAACAACTTAGTCTGTCCCGTGACCATGAACGCTGGAAAGGGTTCGAACCGTCGGGACTTCTAATCAAAATACAAAAAACTTTACAATAATATAGCTTACACATCAGAATAAGACATAGGCTATAATTTGTTATACATATTTCATGTATATCTGTCTTTCTGCCAGAATGTTACGCCTTCAGCCTATTCTACACAGACGTAGTCGCGGGCAGCAGCTAGTATTGATATAAAGACGTGAAACAACTCAATCGGTACCGTGGACATGAACACTGGAATGGGTTCGAAACATCTCGAGTTAAAAATCAAAATTAAAACGAGGTCAGGTGAATTTAAAACGGCGTCACCATGTTACGTCGTGTTTTTTCAACTTTGCCAAATGATTACCACACAGCATCCAACCTAAAGAACGGGCCAAAACATTATTCCACCACGGCTGTTTTGAGGTATTTATTTGGAATTAGTAAGATGTGTCTTTTATACATATTATAGCGAATTTTAATGTTGTTTTTTTATTTTTCTACTTTTTCTATTTCACATTTACGTAATAAGTTATTTGGAAATCGTACCTTTATTGTTAAATTAATCAGCTAATATTTCGATGCTCTAATATAGCAAAGTAGTTTAGCTTAGTTTTAGAGAATTGAAAACTTCACAAAGTAAATGTTACATAGCGTGAAGATTTAAAAAATTGTTTAATTAAATCCGTTGGACAGCTAATAAAAGTTCCTAGGTAAAATGTGTAATGTTTTAGTGTTTTAATTCGTTTATTTACAAAGTGTTTTGTTTACTATTTATACAATGAAATATGGACATATGGGAGTTCTGCTTATACCCTCAACATAAGAATAAGTTAACTACCATTAAGGCTACTGGGTCTTGAAAGTAATTTCGTTGTATTTATTATTATACGGTATCTAAAACTGGTTAGATTGGCGGCAACATTTTTTTCTCTTATAAATATTTTAAACGATAAAAAAATACACACACCCATTACATAAATTATAAAACCAAAATCTACGGAAACGTCCAGATTTTAATAAAATAAAAAATTATCTTGTATTTTTACAATGAATTTTTTTTATTACTTTGCGTACAGCGTATTACTCGATTCTTGTCAAAGGTCTCATAGTAGTTAGTGTACAAGTAGGAATTTAAAGTAAGTACATGTCCCACTGCAGGCCAAAGGCCTCCTCTGTACAGAGGGTATCAGGGCATAGTCCACCACGCGACCCTACTGCGGATTGGCGGACTCAACAAGTAGGAAGCAAAAGATTTTTTGGTAAATTCTGTAACATCTGGATAATTTTTTGCTACAGGTGCCCTACGTTAACTAATAATAATGAAGGTAACCACCAGCCCGTTGCCGACTTTTATGCTGGGAAATCCGTGTTCATAACAGGAGGTACTGGGTTCCTAGGAAAGGTTAAGCGCTAACAGACATTAACTGCTTCATGTATTTGACAATTTCACAGACAAATGTGCGTTATTTATCCGTGCATTTCTTCTTCAGATTTTAATAGAAAGACTTCTTTACAACTGCAAAGAAATCGACAAAGTCTACGTGCTCGTGAGGGAGAAACGTGGAGTACGAGCACATGACAGGCTGAACGATATTGTTAATAATGATGTAAGTAAGATAACATTTTTTTGGAACAAGAATTTCAAAACACCGGGAAATCCCCATAAGCGCCACACTCCACCTGGCGACGGAGCGAAACCGATGGAGACAGCTCATTGACCAATTAAATAAGGATCGCGATCCTCAGCAGTGAGCAAAATCTTCGAAATTAAACTTGTTTCGGTGCGTTTGGAAAATAATGAGGGTAAATATTTTCGTTGCACGCGAACACCGCCGACCACAGAGAAACATTGACATTGGTTGCAAAGCGACCTACGTTTTCAGTTATTTTTCCAACCAATAACAACTTTTTGACATTGAAAATCATGCCAATTTATCCAATTAAACCGTTAAAAATTGCATTTCATATATTTTCCACAAATCAAAGAGTACCTAATTATAGTAGCAAACAGGAAACATGGGATAATTATTTAGTTATTTATCTATTGTTACGGTAAAGGAGTTTTAATAAATTCTTACGCACGTGCTGAAGTACACGCGCGTTTTTTATTGTTGCGTAACTCAATAAAGCAAAAAGGTCGGCTTTAAATTTATTAGCAAGACATAATGAGGTCGTGCCCTAAGTAATAGATAAAAGCAACGAATTAATGTTATCCATTTACCTGTTTTAAACAACTTGTTTTGTAGTTTTTTCCATCAATATTTTTTTCCTCGAGACTTGTAATGAGAATAAGATAAGGAGTAGGACAGTGATTTTTTGACAAACATCCAAAATTAATTAGCGCGTGTTTATGAATATACACAAAACTATGTATGTTTTACATGGCATTTGATATTTTAAACTTTGAAAACCTTTTTTGGATGTCCTTATGCTTTATGTTGCTTGATGTTCAGTGACTACTGCCGCCACACTTACGGCAGTGGGTTTCCAATATTTTACCAACTTACTTCGTCTGTGGTAGGGCCACGCAACAGTATGCGCTGTTGCACGAATGGGCAGGCCCGTTTGGGGAAACAAGATGACCTCACAGAGAACAGGCGTGAAGTGGAAGTTTTATACTTCTGCGTTTCATCTGGTTAGTTAGGTAACCGGGGCTCACTTTATTAAAAGGTGGCATCTGCAACCGTACTAGTGTTGCAAGCCTCCATGTGTGGCGGCTGTCACTTACCGTTTTAATTTCTGATAACGTACTCAACATAATAATATTAGGAAAGCGCATAAAAGATTTCTCTATTGCAATTTTTACTTTATAAATTCTCATTGGAAAACATAACACGTGCAATATTTCTGAGTGTATCGGGTCTTTAAGACCACAGAAGGCATTTAGAACATCCGATCCCATTTTTATCGCGGTCATTATATCATTATGTGTTAATCTGATTGCCATAATGTAATGGACATTTAATTTTTCACGAAATGAAGCATAAAACGAAAACTAATTAACAAGTGACGTTCAAACTCAATAAGTTCTGATTGCAAGATTTTATAGTATGCATTTTTCAAGTAACGTAAGAAAATGGATAAGTAGAATATTGCATCTTATTATTGCGTCATCTGTCAAATTTTGTTTTTCAGCTGTTTTCTAAATTAAAAGCAGAAAGACCGAGGGATCTTAACAAGATCGTTCCGATTATGGGTGATATTTCTTCGCTCAAATTGGGGATCAAACCTGAGGATGAAATGACTTTGATCGAAAAGGTAGGGAGTATGAAATTTCCCCAACTTAATGGATTGGTTAAATTATTTCTTATCTAAATGTTGATAATTACTTCTTTGTAGGTATCTGTGGTATTCCATTCGGCGGCAGATGTCAGGTTCAACAGATCTTTGAGAGATATACTAAAGCTTAACGTTGAAGGAACGAGGGAGCTGTTGAATTTATCACGGCAAATTAGAAATATTGAGGTAAGTAATAGTCAAACATGAAATTTCGAAAATCATTTGAGCAATGAAAATGTGCGATATGAACATGTTCATTGCTTCTAATTCTGCTTAAAATTGAAAATTAAAATGTATTAATTGAAAATTAAAATGTATACATTTTAATTTTCAATATAATAAATATATAATTAAAATATATAATTAAATTATATAATTAAATATATAATTAAAATGTATACATTTTAATTTTCAATTTTAGTGCCAGTCTCTGCCCTTAATATGAAACTGGTTCGAGGATAGAATGCGATATTAATATAATACGAAACGGTACATTAAATTAACATCTCAATATAATTCGGTGAAAACGAAGCAGATAGGACGTCGAGAATTCGCGGGGTTCCGTACCCAAATGGTAAAACGGGACCCTACTACTAAGACTCCGGTGTCTGTCTATTTCTTATCACTAGTCTATATCTCATGAATCGTGATACATAGTTGTAATTTTCACAGGTAATGTATTTCTGTTGCAGCTATAACGACAACTATTAAAAAACAGTATACAATAATAATATTTAAAGGGGCTCCTATACAACAGATATGATTTTTTGCCGTTTTTGTAGATAATGGTACGGAAACCTTCATGCGCCAGTCCTACTCGCACTTGTTATTGAACACCTGATATAAGTTACAGTGAATGTTTGTATATGTAAGCCCTATTAATAAAAATCGCTTATTATAAACATAATTTGACATTACGCTTGGATTTGCAAATCTCAAAGTATCATAGTATTAAATTGGTAATTATAATGTTATTAATAATCATTGAGTAATCTTAGAATAACAATACATTATTTACAATGAGATTTCTGCGAATTTTATAGCAACCCACTCCATTTAAAAGTAAAAGTTATTGAATGAATTATGAATAAAATTGAGGTTGAGGTTGTGAATGTATCAAGTACTACTATTGAGTTTTCTTAATGTAAAGACAGTCATCGGCATTCGCAAGCCGAATAAACCAGCCAACCAGCTTTCTAGCTATCGTCTCATCAGCCTCTTCAGTTGCCTGGGGAAGCTCTACGAGCGGCTCTTGTTAAACAGACTCAAAGAGCACGTATTTTCCAATGGCCTTCTGCCCACGGAACAAATCGGCTTTCGAGCTAGACACTTTTGTCCCGACCAGTTATACCGCCTAACGGAGCACATCCTAAAAGGCCTAAACCACCCGAAACATATTAGTACAGGGGCTCTTTTCTTCGATGTCGCAAAGGCATTCGACAAGGTCTGGCACAACGGCTTGCTTTACAAGCTGTACACAAATACTTAGGAGTCACTTTCGACTCGCGTATGTCATTTACTAAGCACATTAATAACGTTCGTAATAGAGCCGCGTTCGTCTCCGGCCGGCTACACAATTTAAGTAACGCTAAAAGTAAAATGCCCTTAAGGCACAAATTATTATTATATAAGACTTGCGTACGACCTATAATGTCCTACGCATGCATGATCTTCGCCCACACGCACCCTACTCGCTTGTACAAGCTACAAATAGTACAAAATAAGTTCATCCACCGTGTACCCGGTGCGCAGTGGTATCAACGCAACGTCGATCTGCACAGCGATTGCAGACTCCCGACGATTCGCGAATATTTTAAAGACCTGACCAAATGGTTCTTCGATAGAGCCGAACATCATCCCAACCCTCTGGTGGTAAGCGCAGCAAATTACCAACCCGACACAAACGTCAAGAACGTCAAGAGGCGTCGCCCGCGAAACGTCCTCATCGACCCGGTCGAGGAAGGGGACTTAGATACGCCGGACCCACCGCCGGGGGTCCCACCGGATAACACTACACCCACAGCTAGTGTACCAACAAACACAATAGTTCGCCCTCGCCTCCGAGCACGGCGAGACCAACACAACGCGTACACAAGGTACACCCGCGTTCCAGGGCGGTTCTCACTGCCCCCAGCTACCGATTAGCTAAAAACACAGTCGACGGCCATCGGGGTTTCGGTCCGCACCGCGACTTCGGTTAAACGCACGCATGAGCACATGTGCGGCCCTACCCACAACGGAGGGCCCAAACCCGTGGGTTCTGGCTAGCCCACCGGTTCTGCGTCAGATGAAGCTTTAATAGTCTCGGGACTGAAAACAAAAACATCAGTTAATACAAGATACAAGATAATGTAAAGTTTACGGACTCTTCAAATAATAATTAATCTGTGAATTTTCAGAGAAGAAATAAGTTTGATTGTTTTTGTGTCGGAATATTAAAGAATTTGGTTAAAGACTGGTTGGTATTATTTAAAAAATGTGTCGACAAGTTGGTTGCTATTCTTTAAAAATGTGTCGATAACAAAATTTATTTCCATTAACTGGGATTTAAAATAATTTTATTTATTTATTTATTTTTGTTACACCAACAAGATGAACACTAGATTTGGACAATTTATACGTAATATGCTAATATCGGGCTTGGTAAGTGCCATCTCAATTATAGGTGCAAACCAAAATGCTTTAAATTTAACAACACAAAAACTTAAAACTATTTTTGTGAGAAAACACTATATAAAAACATAAAAACCCAGCGAATAGTGGATGCAATGTAGTTTGCAGCATCAATATTGACAGAAAGAAGTAAATCCAAAAAAGTAATGAAAAATTAAAAAAAAATCAAAAGAAGAAAAATAACCGTTAAACCAGACATAAAAAATAAGTCAATTAAAGGCTTCATGTACATATTTATAAATTTTTAATAATTGTTTGAGAAAATGTCAATATCAAGGGCGTTATTACTGGTTCTCACAGCATTTTATAAGTCCATGAGTTTTTTTAGGGGACTCATTAACACTAAAATTATGTAATGTGTTATATGTGGTCATTAATCTGTTAAGAGGTGAATAATGTCCATTGTTAGTCCGTAGTTTTTATTTAATGATACTGTGATTGTTTTTAACAATTAGTAAACTATTTCGTTTTGTTTTAAAATAATGGTGGGTTCTTAGGCATTTTGTTCGTTTTTATTATTCTTATTAGAGGCATTTAGTTTTCAATCTATTTGTAACATATATCACCCTCAAATCATTACAAATGTAATCTGTATTCATCTTTATATGCACAAAACACAAATAACGGTCACAACCGACGCAAGGGAAATTGTTGGTTGAAGTTACTCGTTATAAACCATACTTAGTTAATCGTTAACCTATGACGTCCCAAGGATTAACTTCAGTCCGAGAGTACTTTCGGACTGGTTTGCTCTCTCTTAACTCCATAATTATTAATACTGAATTTAAATAATCTGAGCTTAGGTATTGGAATAATGTTACTTTTGCTCTAGTCCATGTTTAATCGCTATGGATTTTATAATTTTAACTGATGTTTTTGTTTCCAGTCCGTGAGCCATTAAAGAAAGAAAGAAAGAAAAAAAGAAAGAAAGAAAGAAAGAAAGAAAGAAAGAAAGAAAGAAAGAAAGAAAGAAAGAAAGAAAGAAAGAAAGAAAGAAAGAAAGAAAGAAAGAAATGTTTATTTGGTACAAAAAAAAAAAACAACTTAAAATAACAAAACAATGAAAAATTATCAGTGGTATAAATTTCAGTGGAGCCTACAGAAATACGTCCGTTAGGAAGGCCCCGCCGCATACGCTCATATGTGTGATATATTAACCGGAAGATAAATCACCTAGGAATATACTAAAGCTGATTTTCTGCGAGTTGATTTTGTTATAGTACTTTTATACTACTTCTACGGACAGTCCGACAAATATCAAACGTGTTATCTTAACGTTATGGTTGTGTAAATGGCGCAGTCGCCAAGGTATTTGCTACGGCAGGGTCGTGAGTTCGGATCCCGAACGGAACAACTTTTTGTGTGACGCACAGATAACTGTTTCATATTTGGGTGTTTGCCCACGTGAAACTTGTGTTTGTTGACGAAATGTTTTTAAAACGAAAAAAATAAAAAAATCTATCATTCACCAACAATACATTATTTTAAAACAAAAAAAAATTACCATTTTAAATAATAAAACAGAAATTACCATATTAAAAAACAAAACAAAAAATATCTGTGCGTGTGTCTATAATGCACGCAAGTACACAAATTTTATTAATTTTAAATCTACTTTTCGTACTAGCAATTACATAACTTTACTGATGCTCCCAACTTCTTTTCTCTTTTGTTTTTCTTTAACTCACGATTTTGAAGTATGAAACCTTTATTGGACAATGGATATTGATCTCGCGCTTTTTCTATCTTACGTTAATAATCTTTCAGGTTCAGGCGATAGATATTTATTTAAGGGCTTCAACGCGAGCGAAGCCGCGGGCAAAAAGCTAGTAGGTATAGGAATATGTGCCAGCACTATGTATAGGTATAGAGCAGTCTAAGTTACTCCTGGTGTTCTCTAATACCGATCACTATGAAGTTTATCCTGTAAATGTATTATTTCACAGAAGTCTTTATGCATCCAGTCCTATGTTCTGAGCTGTAACTAGATAGCGCTGTGGTATATCAACTCAATTTCAATACCTCTTAAATAATCTGAAAATTTGTTATAAATAAATATTCGAGTATGGGAAACATTTTCGCGTTTTCACACTGAAGCATTTCTTCTTCTATAGTTTCCTTCCGACAGGACAATGTCTACTAGTTCAATGTAAAGCGGAATATTGCTCAAGTCTGTAAAATTATATGCAAGAAAATGTTTTTAAACATGCAAATATATTTTTTTACAGTCTTTTGTGTATATCTCGACGGCGTTTTCAAATGCGGATATGAGAACAACGATTGATGAAATTGTTTACCCTCCACCCTATAGACTGAACGAAGTTTACGAATTCATTAAAAATGATGAAGTTGACATGAAAAAAATTTTGAGTAAGTAAATAAAATTTTCAACCGTCTTCAAAAAATGGTTTTGTTCTCAATTTGTTTGTATTTTTCTTATTTTGTTACCTCAGAACTACGTCATCTATAAAAGGATTTAAAAATTTCTTTTTGTATTGGGTTTGGTTTAACTCCCATGTGGTCCCATATCCGGAGCCCAAGAACCAATACCAATTAAATTATTAATTGGTATTGGTTCTTGGGCTCCGGAGATTCTTCGGGGAACTCCTGAAAATCAGTTCTAAATGAATTTAATTGGTATTGGTTCTTGGGCTCCGGAGATTCTTTGGGGAACTCCTGAAAATCAATTATAAATGAATACAGAGCGAGATATTATAAGTCGGTTTTGATTTTCGTTACTAAAAATAGTCTTGTTATATCATTTATTTACATACCCTTGGTTCTAAATATCAGAAATTGAATAGCCTGATGTTATTATTATTTATTTATATAAACGAAAATTGTTATTACTACCTGTTTAATAATCAACAGTGTAACTGTGTTTACTCCAACTAAGTTAGAAATGGTGTTTGCAACAGGTGTCCTTGTGCTCAAAATATAGTTTTGTCTTAATATTTTAGGAGGGAAACCAAACACATATGCTTTCTCCAAGTCGCTGGCAGAAACTATGGTCACTAAGAATCACGGAAATATACCTACAGTTATTATACGGCCTTCAATCGGTAAACATTATTTTGATATTACGTTTTAATTTCTTGTTTTGATGACCCGTGATAGCTCAGTGTCCGCTCGCCTTTAATTCAATATACTCGAGCAACCTGAGTTCGATCCCCGGTGCCGTTACTAATGAAATTGTTAATTTTAAGTGCTGAATTATCACGTGCTCAGCGCTGAAGGAAAACATCGTGAGGAAACCTGCATATTTTCGAAATAATAATAAAAGAGAAGATATGTGAAGTCCGCCAATCCGCAGTGGGGCCGCGTGGTGGATTATGCCCTGATACCCTCTGTACAGAGGAGGCCTTTGCCCAGCTGTGGGACATGTATAGGCTGATGCTTTTTGTTTTTTTTTTTAATTTCTTCAGAATCATCACGATTATTCTTTGGAAATAATCTCCAGAGACCAATTGTAGGCTTTCGGTTTTCTTTTTGGACGGTTATGATAAAATACAATCGCGTTAAATTTTAAGTTTTTTACAAATAACTTTCAGTGTGCTCTGCAAAGAATGAGCCTATTCCCGGATGGCTCGATAATTGGTACGGGGCTACGGGTCTTGCGTACTACGCAAGCAAAGGTATAAATCGAGTTATATGGGGCAAAAAAACAGTTCTGATGAACATAATTCCAGCAGATTATACAACAAACTTAACGATCGTTGCAGCAGCAAGATGTAGGTAAGTTATTAAGTTTTTCATCTTTTACCCCTCTCAAATGTTATTTATTATAATAAAATCCCAAAGTCGATATTAATTCTGCCCCTTGATCAATTTAAACGTAAAATCAAAAGTCAACTTATGGTTAAAGCATATTACACTATTGCGAAATATCTCGACGACGCCAATGTGTGGAGTTAATACTGTTCATACTCACGTAGGGTAGAATAAGACTATTATACCGGTATTTTATATTGTAAACTGATATTTTTGAAAAAGAGCAACTGTTGAGTTTCTTGCCGGTCTCTCAACAGAAACTGCTTTCTGAACCGGTGGTACCTTACGAACCTACATGTATAATTTTTATGTAAAATTTGACGATTCATAAGAACGCGCAAGCGTTCAAATAGATTGAATAAAGATTTTTGATTGATTGATTGATTGATTAACAAACTTTAGCTTGGTCACGTATTAGTAACGGCAAAAAAATTTTAGAAACAAATATTTGTTCAGGAAAGAGCTAAGGGTCTGGTAACTCACCGGTCTCCGCCTTCCACTGCCTCACGCTGCTGGGGCTCGGCGAACTGGTTGGCCGATTCGGTTTCTCGAAAAGATATGACCCTGTCTCTCCGAATAGTATTTCCATAGGTCGCTGGCACAGTATTCTTCGGGAATTGTTCGTACTCGTAGTAATAGCGAGACACACGGTAATTTTTCAAAAGCAAAGGTGTTAACGTTTCGGCGTACGGCGCGCAAGTATGTACGTTGCTCAGCCAATCAGAGGTGAGCGCGGTGTTCAGCGTTGAAAAGGATTGTTACCAGACCAAAAAATAGAAAATCCCTATCAACTTAATCATTGTTGTCACTCGCAATTTAAATGTAAATAACGATAACGAAAAAAAATAAAACAAATTATGAAAAATGGTTCCGGTACGGAACATATTTTATTTAGATATGGACATACTTCTTTAGTTAAAACGGGAGCGTTAGCATTATCAAGTTTCTGTGCCAGCTTTATTTAATGTAGAAGTAACAAGGAGAAAATGGTTGTGGTGTGTGGGTGTGTGGTTTAAATTATATTTACGATATTATGAAATGTAACATCATCTTCATTATTTCAACATGTTCCAGTCCACTACTTTCTCGTCTTTTTTTAGAAAATATAGCATTGATAGTTCAGTGGTAATGGATTTTGTCGCGCAATCTGCGATCAGGATTTGATATTAAAATTCTCCTTCAGAGTAATTTTTTTTTTTACTAAATTTTACCTTAGAAATCACTGAGCCTTAAGCCTTATGTATGTGAGAATAGTTATTCTCCAATGGCTATGAGTGCTAAATAAGTATATATCTAGAATTTTGGGCATTTTATCTGGAGTTCCACAAGGATCACCATGAGGACCTCTGTTGTTTAACATCGTTGTCAACGACATAGATTGATGTCAGTACTTCACTCTAAAATTCTTATATACCGATGACATAATGATTAGGAAGGAAGTGACTTGCCTTAAAGTTTAGGATATAAACTTTGTTTGTACTCTAATATAATTATATTCAGAATCGTTCAAGATCATTCGCCGCATGCCATAATGTCACTTACTAACATAGACATTTTTTTTTCCTCTAGCAAGACAGACACTGACGTTAAAGTATATAATTCTTGCACTAGTGCCGACAAACCTCTTACATGGAGTTCTTTGGCAGATAAATTTGCAGAAGAATATCCAAAGCTTGACCAAGGTAAGTCATTAAGAAAGGGGAAGAGAAGTTCATAAATCGGATGAAAAAATTGTATTTAATTATAACTTAAGTTATACTCACGTTGTACAGTAGAAACATATGTAATAATAATACAAAAAACTAGGTTTTATGTTGGAGAGAAAATGGCAAAAGTAATAAAAATAAATACAAATTTCATCTCTTTCTTCTTACTGCAAATACGTTATATTAAATTGCTATGAATGCAGCAATTTAATATAACTCGGAATTATAGGGAAATGTCAAAAAGTTGTTATTGGTTGCCATGGTAACATCATTAAGTTTGTATCGGGCATCATAAAGATTGTCTCAAATTTTTTTTTCATACGCACCGAAAGTAATTTATCTTCAAAAGAACTATATATATATATATATATATATATATATATATATATATATATATATATATATATATATATATGTATGTATATGTATATTAGAATGTTGTATAAACTATTTTTATATTTTTTCAGACACTGTAAAAAAACCGAAGCTCTATTTTATCTCATCACCATGGTTGGTATCTATATTGACGTTGGTTTTGCACAAGGCCCCAGCTAACGTTGCTGATCTCTGGCTACGTTGTAGAGGAAAAGAACCAAGGTGAATATTACCTTTTTATATTTTGAAATTTTGTTACATTCTTCAATTTTGATAAATAATTTCGTCTGCGTACATCAAGTTGCTGAGACAAACGCCGTTGTCTTGAGACGAACATCAAACTTAATGACTGGAATTTTACGTAATTTTACGTCAAAACTTGGCAAGGGACCAGTTCATCAGATGTAAAGTGATTACCGCCGCTTATAGGTATCTACAACACCAGCCGATACACGAGTTTTTATTTATTTGACACTTTTTTACACAACGTTCTCTCTCTAGTCCCAAACTAAGCAGCGCTTGTACTATGGCCTATTGGTACTAGATAACTGATAAACATACTTATATTTAGTAAAAAAATACATAAATAATTACATATTATACATAATATAAAACACCCATTCATCACAAAATATTTTTCTAGTAGTGGGGATCCAACACTACCCAATACGCCATTCGGGTCGTCGAAGTACATTACTTTTATCTAATTTTGGACCGTACGATTTTTTTGTGTGTTCTCATTGAATCATTTATCTAATAGATACGTCAAAGAACTCAGCAGAGCGTTGGCCGGGCGTGATGCACTTAGATATTTCACGTCCAACTCCTTTATTTGGAACGTCAGCAACGCTCGCAACCTCTACTACTCCTTGTCGCCGAGTGATCGTGAGCACTTTCCCTTCGACCCCAGCGAAATAAATTGGAACGAATACATCAAAGACTACTGCGCCGGCGTCTATAAATATTTGGTGGCCAAGAAAAACAATAGATAATATTGTCTTTCTCTATTTTCTTTCCTAAATATGTTTGAAAATTATTATTGGTAAATAATAATTTTTAATAATCTATGTATATGTATATATATCATATCCCATAGCACTGTTAATCTCGATTTCTTGTTTAGGATTTGTTATTAGATAATAACTAATCGCCATCAGGTAACAGGAGTATAAAATTATGCAATCGCAAGAACTTTTCGACGGCAAGACCCAGCCTAGGTTTTTAAATATTCTTCGCGGTAATTTTAACAAAGCTAGTAAAAATACCTGTACCCTGTGCTTCGCTCAATAGACAGGCGCAGTTACTGCAGGCAGAATGTATTTGTTTATTTATTTATTTATTATTTATTGCAAACACCTTAAAAAGGAAAAGTATCCCACAAAGGTCGGACTTAATCCGTATTGGTATTCTGTACTAGTCAACCAGGGAGATGATTAGGACTCGTGGTTGGTGCAATAAATGAAATTGCTATATGGATTTATGTGAATGAAATAAATAAATCTACGTTCCCTCCCTATTTTATACCTTATGGTATAATTATTCAAATATAATTATTTATGCCGTATGCACTTTTGGGGCATATTTATTTTATCTTAAACTTTTGATATAGTTCATAATAGTTGATTTTTCATATAAACAATATTATATAATATTTAAATATAACATTAAGAGTATGGAAATTATATAAAATTATCAGTTTAAAATGTTTCTCCCAAATAGCGGGTCGTGTTATGTACACATCGCTGAACAAAAACGACAAGTTGTAATGCAATGCTGCAGTGTTTTATATTAGTTTATACATTTATGTTTTATTAAAAAATGACGCACTTATATTATTTTTTATTTTAACTGACGACACTCCAGAAACTAGTTAAATGAAATGTAATCTCCAAAGCATTTGAAACGTTGGCCAGGAATGTAAACGTAAATTAAACGTAATGTTCGCTAAATTAAAATAAATCATTGTTAATACATTTTTTTTTTTGTGGACTTATCAGATCTGTACGTACTTAAAAGCATTAATAATGGTTCATGGTAAGAAAAAAAGGTAAAAAGTTCGCCAAAAACAAAAAAAAAATGAAGAGAACGCTTTAATTTATTGACCTGAATTGTAAGATGCTGCTCATGGATTAGTTTTTACTTGTGTATAGGTCGCTACAAACATTACTCAATGCTCCTAATGAACCGAAAAAAATAGGATGATTCAGCATTTTTCATGTCTTAAGATAAAGTGCAATAGAATATTTGAAGGTCCGTGCAGATAAGTACCCCGACCTCACAAATACCAGCGTGCGTTTCGTTTGGTGAGTGAGGTAGCCGGGGTCCACTTCATTCAAAAAATATCCAAAATCGATTTTTGATACAAACGTAGTTGTCATTTGCTTTTTTTAAGACTTTCTCCTAAGAAGGAGGAATAAACATCGGTGACGGGGCCGCCAAAATCAATTGCTTTGGATTCATTTAGAAAGATGTGTGTGGGGAGACCATAACATGTAGGACAATTTAAAGATAGTCTCTATAATTTTCTAGGGATGAGAATTTTAGGTCTAGATTGATGTATCCAGTATTATTAAAAAAAAGCAATCATCCGTCTTCATGCACTTTTCACGTGCGCCGCTTTGGTTAGTTTCGGCTCATCTTAAAAGACCCATATTCGATTTCTGGTTTATTTTAGGATCGCAGCAATAATTCCATGTTTCGCCATCTGTTAGATGTCCCACCAATTCATCGCTTTACATTTTATCTTACCCTCGTTTTGATCTGGTAGACACAAAAGAAAGTCATTGGCTGTTTTGAGATTTCTGAGTCTGATCCTGTATCGTTTTGTGAGCGATACCTGTTCTTCTTATTCCTCCGTCAAAAGTAATGAGTAGCGATAGATTGCAGTATTGCTATTTTTTCGTTATAGGCGTGTTAATAATTTGGTGCAGGAGACAGCAATAACTCGAGCAGTAACCTCATGGGTGGAGCTTACCACACTTGAGTAACCGCTTCGCTTTTATGTTGCCCTGGTACACCGCTTATATTTTTCTTAAACAACTTTTGGAGATCTATGTAATAAATAAACCACGTAGTGGACACTTATGTGCGCTCAAGCGGTCCAGGTCAAGGGGGATAATACTTTTACATAGTTGTTAATTACGATATTCAAGTAAGCATTGTGTGTATGTTAAAATCGTGTCTAAATTTAAAGACTATTATATCTAAAAGACATATTTCTGTTTAAAGATCAGTTTTTTTACTTACATTATAAGGCAGACAAAGAATTACCATTAACAGTTTCGTGTGTCATTGTTTTATGTATGTTGTAGTATTGATATTAACAAGTATATGGATGATTAGGTAATTAGTATTTAACTTAGTTAAGGACTTGTATAATCCTTTATAGAATACTATTTTAAAATTAAATCACTTAAATGAAACTAGTTTACTGATTTAATTGCGTTTTAATTTTCATATTTAATTCCCGACGTTTCGAACCCTTTCCAGCGTTCATGGTCACGGGACAGACGGAGTTGTTACATGTCTTGATGTCAAAGTTAACCTGGGCTAAATTGTGTTTTATTTATTTTAGTTGCGATTTACGCAAACGTAACAACACCTTGAGCCATATTGTGTATACGTGTAGAAAGGAAACCCGTACAAACAAATACTTAAATGGTGATTCTCACCACAATTCTTCGCAGTTGGCTACTGTTAGTAAATGTTTGTTACAAAGAGCACGAGTGATCTCGAGTGATCTGTGACAAGCCACACCTGGGTTCTGACAACAAACTTCGCGAAACAAAAAACGACCGAAATTTCGCGCCTTCGCGTCACAGTGACCGAGTGAAACCAGCCACAGTTGAGCAAGTGCCTGTTGTATCGCCATGTGTTAGATATGATGACTCCGTGGCGCAGTCGCCAAAGTATCTTAAGCTTTGGCGTCGGGGGTCGTGGGTTCGATCCCCACACGGGACAACTATTTGTTTGACCCACAGATAGTTGTACCGCATCTGGGTGTTTGTCCGCGTCAAATTTATGTTTGTAAAAACGTCCTTACAACACAGGATAATGTTGTCCTAAAGAAAGGGCAACGATTTTTCCAAAAAAAAAAAATGTTTCAGGAGTCACTAAAAAGATTGGCTATATATTGAAGACTTCAAATAAGACTTTTCAAGCCACCTAAGAAGAAATTAAATGAAAAATCGTTAGCAACAAATACTATTCATTTACCTAGCGTTTTTTATATAATCATACTACATTGTAGTACCCTTGTATAATAATAGTACAAGACGTGTAATAATATACAATTTATTTTACATTGCATGAATATTTAATAATGTTCTTTTCAGCCAAGATAGAAACATTAGTATCTACTGGAAATAAGTGTATATGTTATTTAGTGTTATTGTTTTGTTCTATGACTTAATTTTATTTATTCTTAAATTATTATCGACCTTGAAGTATGACGTGATTACAGTTTCTAGTCCGTCCTTCTATTTATACTGTTTTATGTAATGAGTTAAAGTACGTATTGACGTTTATAATTTTTATTTTATGCAATAAACGCGTTGAAGTGTATAAACTTAAGCTGTGGCCAAAAAAGTGGAGAATTCTGATGACAGGCGTTAAAATCACCTAAAGTTAGCGTATTATGCGATACTGCAATTATACCGTTAGTAGCTAACTAGAAGGATAATCATAGGGTGAAAATAATGTAAGCAATTCGTCGAGCGTAGGTGCATAATTCGGGTCACTAAATCACAGTTTTAACAATTTTAATAACATCTTTCAGACGGAAATATTTCGTGCTTATTTCTTTTTATGTTTGCGATTTACTGAAAACTTTATATAAAATAACTCACAAACCTAGTTCCATTCGGTTTGGAGCCAAGATCAGCTGCATTTCCTCGCTGAATATGTAGTACATATTATAACAATATTTAACTAGAACAGAGTTTAACCAGCCCTTTTGACAGCCGCATATATATTGTTGTTTTTTTTTCCCTTCATAAATGACAACTTCGCTATAACTTCTGGCTGTTAGTATTTATTGACCTGCGCGCCATCTATTAATTTATTTCGTTATCATTGAAGCTGTATATATACAATATATATATATACAAGAATTGCTCGTTTAAAGGATAAGATAAATTGTTGCTTATATAATATCGCTTAATTATTGACTATTTGAAATGTCATTCATTCAATGTTTTTATCGCCATTTGGTTTCAGTTCTTTTCCGAAAAAGGGTCAATTTTTATGTATGTATGTTATGTATTTTTTCCATGCAGGTATGTTGTTTTAACATCAACTAATTTAGAATTTTTTACTAAAATTTATAAAAAAACAGTTTATAATACTTAAATATTAATGGCATTTAAAATATTAATTTTCGTAAAGAAAATAACCTTAACATGTCACGGCCTGTTTATAGGCCACTTATACAAGTGTAAATTGGTAAGTTTTATTCAGTGCAAACCCTGTCGGAAATCTCTGATGACGAAAGTTATATAGAAGGTGAGTGTCGCCACGAAGTTAGTAAGAACAAAGCAACCATGAGAAGAGGTTTCGCTTTAAGAGAGTTTCACATTTCATTATCGAAGAGGAACCAATTTAATACTAGAAGGCTATGTCCTGTTTATAAGTAAGTTTCATATATGTTATTGATATTGCCGATTTCCATAAGTATTTGAATTTTAAATAGATACTTTGAAATAATTGAAATTTAAAAAGGCAAAGCCACGTGCTTAAAAGATTTAGTACTTACTTTTATTTTATTAACAAATATAATGTAATATAAACTTAATCAGTAGACTCAATTTTAGTAATAATTGGCTTGTGGTAACTGAAGTAGGAAACATATGTTTGGGATTCTATTTTATTTAAATGTCTTGCAAAAACTGCATCAATGGTAGTATTATATTTTGTTATATTTTGTTGTTGATTCTGCTGGATTATTGTTAATTCTTAAATTAAATTCTTCCTCTAGAAACTGTCATGTTTTTCTGTCTGACAGACAAACAACAGACAGAGAAACATGCGCACGCCGCACAGCTTACAATAGCTTACTATAGCAAAAAGTATCGTTACAACTTTTCGTGAGAATTTTTCCGTCTAGCCCCCTTACACAACGCGGGATAAGGAACTTCGTTCCAATAAAAATAAAAAAGCGATAAAATCCGTAAACCAGTTTCATTTAATATGTATAATATTCGCGTAAAATTATGAAGTCAATACATTATCTTAACAATTAATTATATGTTAGGTTAGAAACGAATTTCGATGCAGTTTTATCAATTACTTTTGAAATTGTGCAGTGGGCCAATTATCGCGATTCTAAAACTTTGTATTAAATGTTTAAAGTCATTGAGATATAAACATATAAAGCAACCGCCTAAAACTAGACCCCATTGCTTCTGTGTACAGAGAGAATATTAGGATATAGTCATACAGAGTTTCATAAATGATAGAAGGAGAGCCGCTATGAGTTATTAGCAACGATATATCGTGACCTTTGAGAATACTAAGATGTGGTTACATAATAATGTAACCACATTTTAGTATTCGCAAAGGTAATATTTTTTAAATATTTTTCATTGGCATAATACAAATTGATACAAGACAATCAATTCACGAAGTGCTTATTCTCTCTATCTCTCTTATGCGGATGGCAATAAATGAATTGTAATATTTGATGATATTGACGACCCGAATGGCGTAGTGGGTAGTGTACCTGCCTCCTGCGCCACCACCTTCTTCCACTACTGGATAAATATTGTGTAATGAAAATAGCGTTTTTCTAGTGTCTGGGTGTTTATATATCTATAATATGTATTTATTTACAAAAGAAAAGTATGTTTAAGTATGTTTATCAGTTTTCAAGTACCCATAGTACAAGCGTTGCTTAGTTTGGGACTAGAAAATGTTGTGTAAAAATGTGTCCTAAATATTTATTATTTATTTATTTTTGGGTGTTTGTCCATGTGGAATTTATGTTTGAAAAGTCCTTACAACACAGGATAGTGTTCTCAATACTAAAGTGAGGACAGTGTTTAAAAAAAAATCACAGTTGTTGTATAAGAAAAGTTGGCAAGCAGGCAGCCGGTTTACCTGATGTTAGGTGATTACCGCTGCCAAAGGGCATCTACATATCCTGACGGGTGGACGAGGCGTTGCCACATCTATGTTTTTGCCCATGGAATTTTCCATATTTATAGATATTCAAACTCGTATGGTAATAATTTTATAACACAGTTTTTACATTTTTAACGAAATTCTCATTAAGAAGGGTAATTGGTTAAGTACATATGTGTTCTGATTGACTATCTACTTGTATATGTAACAGCCTTATATATTGCTATTTGAATGTTATCATTGACCAAGATTAACAGACGACAAACTCACACTATCTTGACCAATACTAACTCATTTATATGAGTTAGTCTTGGTCAAGCCGACGATCCCATTAGAAAAATAAAAATAAAAACTAACACTGACCACATGTTAAAGACTGAATCATCTAAATGTATTTTTATAGAAATGTAGCTTCATTTTCGACCTGCGATGACAGAACTTCCTTTGCTAGCGTCCCCGACTGTTACTCCGGAAAGTCTGTGTTCGTCACGGGTGGCACAGGATTTCTTGGGATGGTAAGATTTACACATAAAAAATCAATCAATCGTAATCTATAACATTTCACTGTAAATAAAACTATATAATACACGCTAGCTGAAGTTTTCGGTTATTAGCATTAGGCCCGCGACTTCGCATGCGTTTTAGCCTTTAAATAAATCTTTTAAAATTTTTATGTTTAATAAAAATGCTGTCCTTTTTAATACCTTTAAGAATATGTGTACAAAGTTTCATGGTAATCGGTTGAGTAGTTACGCTCGAAGTGAAAGCGTAACAAACAAACTTACATTCACATTTATAATATTAAAATTGTAGATTAGTAACTGTTTCACAGGCTACTTTGTGTTTTACTTACTTACTATCTTTGATTTAAACAAATTGTTAATAGATGGCGTTATCATGCATTCCTTATAATTTTATTGATAGTTTTAATTTGAAAAAAAAAAAAAAAAAGAACAATGGTTTGCTTTAGCCAACGTTTTTGTAGTTGCAAATAAAAATAATTGCATACATATAATTATTAACAAGAGATTCGAAGACTAAAACATGCACAATAACACATATCTGTGCTTGTTAAACATAAATAAACCGACAATGTTATATATTACAGAGCTCAAAATGTTATACCATTAAATAGTATCTTATTTTTTTGTATGAAAGCTCGGGAGCAATCGGGATTATTATCAGTAATGTATTAGTTATAATATTATTATTATAAACCTTTTAAAAAAATAAAAATCGATAGACGCAGGTCGCATCCTGCAGGAGTGTTTCACAATTTATTTACAAACATTCACACTTAAAAAATTGTATGGTGTGATTTCAGGCTATAATCGAGAAATTACTATACAGTTGTTCCAATATAAGCAACATTTACGTGCTGATCCGGAACACAGATCAGTTAAATGCAAAGGACAGACTAAGGAAAATGCTTCATAACCCCGCGAGTAATCAGGTTACCAAACCCTCATACAGAAAGCAATGTAGACAAAATAATAAAATATTACAAAATTTTCCTAAAATAACATGTTTCAAAATATTTTCTAATTTTGCAGGCATTTTCAAGATTAAAAAGGGAAAGGATAACTGACTTGCAGAAGATCGTGCCAATTTCAGGCAATGTAGAATCAGCCAATCTTGGTATTACTCACAAAGATGAAGAAATGTTGAGAGAAAGGGTATAACATTCTGTATTATTTCAAAATTGAAAACAAAATCGACCAATCGGTTCGAAAACTAAATGTTTGATTCAAAATTTTTTTAAGATAAGTTAATAAATTATTACGCCACTTAACTTAGTTGGTAAGCGCCGAAAGTTTTTGTTAATTTATTATGAACGAGCAGACGGTTCACCTGATGTTAAGTGAATACCGCCCATGGACATCTGCTACACCCGAGGGTTACAGATGCCTTGACAACCTTTTAAAAATTGGGCTCCGGCTACCCCACTTACCAGACGAAACGCGAAAGTATTTTTCATACTTCCACTTTACGGTGTTCTTCTGTGAGATCGTGGTACTTACCCGGACGGGTCTGCCCATTCGTGCAACAGCCGAGGCTGCTAAGACATTCAAGTGCAGAGACTAGAACTAAAACTAAACTAAAAGTATGTACAATACTAATCAATCTTAAAATTTTTTAAGAGCAATTGCGACAACTCTCGATACAAATATTCATCTTTGAATGTTATTTGTAAGTTTGATGGAATGATAGGGAGCGTTGTCCATGAAAACAACGCTCATTAGTTGGCTTAGTCGTTTTTTTTTGTGAAAAGTTGCCAAAAGAGCAGACGGTCCACCTGATGTTAAGTAAAAATACCACCGCCCATGGACATCTGCTACACCCTAGGGATCGCAGATGCGCTGACAACCTTTTTGGAAATTGGGCTCCAGCTACCTCACTCACCAGATGAAACGCGAAAGCATTTGTCATACTGCCACTTTACGCCGGTCTAAAGTGAGGTCGTGGTACTTACCCGCACGAGCCTGCCCATTCGGGCAACAGCCGAGGCTGCTGCGTGGCTCTGCCACCGTACCTTTTTGATCCACTCAAGGAACCTATTACCATGCATCTCCTCATGATAATCTTTTGTTGATTTTGATTAAAAAACTAGTAGACCGCCTGCCACATATCCTTTGTCGTTACCAATATGGAAAACAATTCTTTTGAAGTAAGTTTTCTTAAACCGGCAAATAAGCCGTTTTGAAAATAAAGTATCTTGTTTTTAGAGTTCCGTACCAAAAGGTAAATTGGGACCCTATCCCTTCGTTCTGTCACCAGGCTGTATCTCATGAACCATGATAGTTAAATAGTTGAATTTTTTTTTTTAATTCAGTTACCAAACAAGGGATACGACACAACCATTGCGAAAGTATGCTTTCAACTGCTCACTGTGAACATGATTTTCTAATTAAGATTCGAATAGATAATTTAGAATAATTAGAATTTCGATTTAATTGATGTGACTTGGCCAACGGAAAATCATGATTCACTGCATTCTTAACGCGAACGAACTGTAGTAAAATTCACGACATTTAAACGACATGCAAATACATCACTTAAATTGTTACTTGTATTACAAGAGTGGTGCTGCTTTTACGCCGTTCATCGTTATAAATGTCTGCTTATTAAACGGTTTTATTTAGCTCGACCCGTACGGAATTTGTTTGTTTATTTATTTGGGTCAAAATTAGAAATTGAAATTTAAGCACCTTGCCGTTGTCAGATTGATCTGAAATTTGGTACACACATTTAATTTAGATGAAGTGATGAGCGTGCCCGTTTCCTAGGAGTCTCATCTAAAGAATCGAGTTATTGGCTTCACGCTTTACCATCAAGTAACTTGGGCACATTACTTGACGATGAAAGCTTACGCATTGCTGTAGGAATCCGGCTGGGGGCACCGATTTGTCAACCACACCAATGCCCTTGTGGTGTCAGTGTAGACAAATTTGGTCTCCACGGGCTTTCTTGTCAAAAAAGTGCTGGCCGTTTTTCTCGCCACGGTTCCCTGAACGACATCATCCGTAGGGCTCTTGTTTCCATCAATGTTCCATCTATTTTAGAGCCCTGTGGCATTTTACGCGACGATGGTAAGAGACCCGACGGTTTAACATTGATCCCTTGGGAGAGAGGCAAAGCCCTTGTTTGGGACGCCACTTGTGTAGACACTTGGCTGCCTCTCATCTAAGGGGTACTTCGGTCAGGGCCGGGGCGGCATCGGAGGCAGCTGAAGTAAGTAAATGGCGCAAATATGAGTTTTTATGTTCAGATTGTTTTTGTGCCATTTGCTGTTGAAACATTAGGTCCGTGGGGTCCCCGCACATCAAATTTTTTTAAAAGTTTATGTCCTAGGCTTAACGCCGCGGCTGGTGACAAGAGAGCTGGTTCTTTTCTCGGTCAAAGGTTAAGCTTAACTATTCAGCGAGGAAATGCAGCTAGCGTTCTTGGCACCATGCCGCGTGGATTAGGTTTATTAGATAATATGTAATTTTAGATAGATTTAATCTTGTAAATATTAGATCATTAAGAAATACTTACTATATTTAGATGACAATACAATATTAACAAAAAAAAAATTTAACAAAAAAAAAAAAAACATAAAATAAAACCGTTTAACTTAAAAGTTTTTAAACGGTTTTATTTATCTGAAGTGTCATGATACAGTTTGTGATCATATAAATAACATACTTTGATTTTCTTACCAAGCAGTTAAAACTAATTAGGTGGCTAACTAACATGAGTTGCCTAAATGAAATAGGAATGTTTCATTTAAAAAAAAATGTCAATAGATCGGTGTTAGAATCATTAAATTCCGACAAAATAGCGCCTTTTAGAAATAATATAAAGATATTTTTGCCAAGTGGAACATTGCTCCATATGCCGTCAGTCTTTCCGCTTGATTATGGTGAGAGCGTACTTCGATGACAAAGAGCGCATTGTTTTTTTTCAATTGTCAGTTTTTTTTATGTGAAAAGTTGCCAGGCGGGCTGCCGGTTCACCTGATGTTAAGTGAATACCACCGCCCATGGACATCTGCTACACACTAGGGTTCTAGATGCGTGATGTAGTAAAGTTAACACAATTAGTCAGTAATGACTTTCACAATTTAAATTTGTTTTTCACAAGTTTGCACTAAATTAAAATTAAAGGGTACCAGTTGCATTCTTTAAATTTCATTATTTTAACCAATTTACTCCCATACTTTGTAACGAAAAATTTTCTCCACCTTTTTATACAATTTTTTTTCAGGTTTCCGTCGTTTTCCACGCAGCTGCAACAGTGGAGTTCGATAGACCGTTGATAGAAGCGATTAGGATTAATTATGAAGGCACACAAAAAGTTATTGATCTGTGCAAAAAGATCAAACAACTTCGGGTAAAATAAACAAAGAAATGTTTACATTACGAGTTCGACATTCGTCTACAATACGCGAATAATAAATAAATAAAAACTTGTCAAATATTAACATATAGAATAAGGGACACCTGTAAAGTTTTCTGATATTGTTGCGTACGTACATTACGTACGATTTTTTTCACTTACAATTGACACTTAAACCTCGCTGTTATTGAAAGCATGCAAATATAATTAACTTTATAAATTTTAAGGCTTTCGTGCATATTTCAACCGCATATTCAAATACCGACAAAAAAGTCATAGAGGAAAAGGTATACCCACCACCAGCCAAAATTAACGATGTTTATAATTGTTTGAAAAGATTTGGTGACGATGAAGACAAAATTAAACAAATTCTTAGTAAGTGTAAAATTCTCCATATTCTTCAGCAAACACAATAGTCCAAATAGAAAAAATCCATTTGGCCATTAGTAATTTTGTTACAATTAATATGATGGAAGTTTTTTTTATTGGATAATTTAGGTGCTTGGTTATTATATTTCTATTTGCTGTTAAGGTTTAAAATTGAAAATGGTTTTTTAAAACCACTGAGAATCTTTACGGAAATGGTGGATAGTTTCACCAGATTCACAAAATTTTTTTCGAGAATTGTCTTTGTATGCTGTAACAATATAGCGGGCTTTATTTCTCATAACTGTTCAGATAACCTAAAATATTACTAGAGTAGATCATTATGTAAATATTAAAGGAATAAAACGGAAATTTATTAGTTTAACAATAAAAAAACATTTCTACAGATGGGAGACCCAACACCTATACATTTACCAAAGCTCTGGCAGAAGATCTAGTTTTTAAGGAATGTAAAAATATACCAACTGTTATTATAAGGCCTTCCATTGGTAAGTTTAAATACAGTTTTAAGTTTTTTCTATAAATGTTTCGGATACACTGTTTCGGACACATTTTTACGCAACGTTCTCCAACAAACTTATTATCGCTGGCACTATGGGTACTAGAAAACTGATAAACGTACATAAACATACTTTTCTTTTGTAAACAAATACACACTATACATATATAAACACACAGACACTAGAAAAACACTATGTTCATGACAAGATGTTTTCCAGTAGTGGGGATCGAACCCACATTCTCTGGCGCAAGATATGTTAATAAATTGAAAGCAACTAAGTGACTAAAGTGACATAAAATATAAATAACAAAAAAAAATATTCGTCACTGTCAGGTTTGATCATTTGTTAACCAATGATCCATACTGCACGGAGTTTATAAATTATTCCGCTTAACATTATATGATCAAAAGTGGATGTGACAGATGATATAGAAATTATGATTCGAAAAGATAAAGATAACAATCTATAAAATTGCTAATCTAATAGCAACAATTGGCGTAATTTGACTACCTTAATTTTGGTGTGCTATTGTCATAACTACCTCGTGTTTGTATATAATATCATTGACGTTAACTGCTTATTATGACTATGTAAATCGTATCTTAGATTTGGAATCATATTCTGGGGAAGTTGCATTAAGAAAGACGACATTTTTAGGTCGCAAAACATTCGTCAGAGTTATGTGAAAATTAAACACAAAACGTATCTGTAAATTATCTTTAATAAATAGATAATAAACTCTAGACCAAAGTAAAGGAATTAAACACAAATTTATTTAAGAAAAAACTATGCGACATGGTGACAGCAAAAAGTTATTAGAGTATATAAGATTTTTTTGCATCATTTAATCTTTTTTTAAAGTTTTTTTTTGTAATTCATTATCGATTATTTTCTGTTTTGTTATCATCTACTTTTTACATAGAAATATCTTTTGATTGACATTGCTTATATTTAATCATATATTTTGCCTCTAATTTGTAATTTTATATTCTGTTATGGTTATTATACATCAGAATTTTAAGCATATCGTTAAGGTCGTCATCATATCTTTTAGCGAACTATTTTGCGTATTGTTTTTGTGCAGCTTATAAAATGGATATGACATAAAGATTGGGCTGCATTCAAAAAAGCCAAGAATCGTTGCAATCAGATGGTGAGGTCTGCTAAACACCGACATTTTCACAACTTCTTACTAACTGCTTCTCAATCAGAGACATGGAAGTTTATTCACTCTCTTGGGTTTGCAAGTTGCAAAACACAGCCTAGTATTGATATGCCCTTATTAAGCGAACTTAATGCTCACTTTTCCTCATCTTCTGTATTGCCATCTCACATTAAAGCTAGTACTCTTCTTGAAATATCTTCCATGGCCTCAACTCACTCTGATACATTCTCTTTTTCTTCGGTCGCTGAGGATGAGGTATGTAAGGTTTTACATCAGATTAAATCTAAGGCAGTAGTAGGTTGTGATGAAATAGGCCGTGTCATGATATTTCATGTTTTGGACCAGATTGTACCCATTCTCACATTTATTATTAATCATTCGATGCTATCTGGGGAATTTCCTATCTGTTGGCGTAATGCTTTTGTTATCCCGCTTCCCAAAATTAGTAAACCCAGTTCACCGAATCATTTCCGGCCTATTTCTATCTTGCCGTTTTTATCAAAAACTTTAGAGACTATTGTTTTTAAACAAGTTTGCACCTTCGCTCATAAGAACAACCTGTTGAATAAGTTCCAATCGGGGTTTCGGCCGGGTCATAGTACCACTACTGCTCTATTAGCGGTTACCGAGGATGTGCGACATGGTATGGGGGATGGCAGGGTGACAGTATTAGTACTGATCGACTTCTCCAACGCTTTTAATGCTGTTGACCATGACATCCTTCTTGCCATCTTATCTCACCTAGGATTTTCATCCTCAGCACTGAATTGGTTCTGTTCTTATCTTCGTGGCGACGTGGTTCGTGTCGATGGAAAGTTCTCCAATTGGTGCGATCTGGCCACCGGTGTTCCGCAAGGCGGAATACTGTCACCAACACTTTTTCATTTTTCATAAATTCTGTTACATGTAATCTTCGCTCCTCTTACCATCTATATGCCAACGACCTGCAGCTGTATGCCCAGGCTGAAGCAGCGCATTTACATGATGCTGTTACCCAGATTAACTCTGATCTCGAGCATATTTTCAACTGGTCGAAAAAGTACGGTGTTACTGTAAATCCCACCAAATGCCAAGCCATAATTCTAGGGAGCGAACGTCAGTTATGCAAAATAGATTATAATTGCGTGATGCCCGTGATGTACAATGATCAAGTCATTCCCTTTTCACCAAAAGTCAAGAATCTTGGGTTAACTATTGATTCCTCGCTCAGCTGGCGAGCGCAAGTTAATGAAGTCAGCAGTAAAGTTTATTCCAACTTGAGACAATTATAAAGATTTAAAAATTTCTTACCACCTTATACTAAAAAACTTTTAGTTCAATCACTTATACTTCCACATCTCGATTACGCTGATGTGTGTTACTCAGATGCAAACATGGATATTCTTAGCAAATTGGATCGCCTCCTTAATCATCGCTTCATTTATGGTGTTCGAAAGTTTGACCATATTTCATCATATCGCTCTCAACTAAACTGGTTGAATATTTCCCAACGGAGGAATCTTCGGATCCTCTTTCTTTTTTTTTTTTTTTTTTATGTGAAAAGTTGCCAAACGAGCAGACGGTCCACCTGATGTTAAGTGAATACCGCCGCCCATAGACATCTGCTACACCCGAGGGTTTGCAGATGCGTTGACAACCTTTTTGGAAATTGGGCTCCGGCTACCTCACTCACCAGACGAAACGCGAAAGTATTTGTCATACTTCCACTTTACGCCGGTCTTCTGTGAGTCTGTCGTGCAACAGCCGAGGCTGCTGCGTGGCTCTACCACCCTTTACGCTTTATAGTATCATTAACGATCCTTTTGCCCCAGCGTATCTGAAGTCTAAATTTCAGTACCTGGGTACCTCTCATTGCTGCAATCTTCGATCTGCTGGTAATCTTACGTTGCTTATTCCTTCTCACAGTACCGGTTTTCTCTCTAAATCCTTCGCTGTTACAGCTGCTCGACTCTGGAACGCCCTTCCTCGTGAAATTCGAAAATCACCGAATAAATTTATTTTTAAAGCTAAAGTTAAGGAATATTTTAATTCGTCGTCTTATGATCAGTAGTATGTATAACGTTTGATAGATATTTCCGTTTTATGTACGTTTATATATATATATTTACCTAATATAATATTTATTCTTGTAAGTTAATAATTGTTGTCATAATGTATGTATACATATTATATAATCCTTATATAGCTAGCACCTACACTTCTCTTTCTCTAACTTTCCGGTTGGCTGGTAGAGAATGCCTTATGGCATTAAGCCCGCCGTTTGTACCAGTTAGTACAAAAAAGTGTGTAAATAAATAAATAAATAAATTTTAATTACTAAAATAATCTATATGCGACTCTGCAAACGTCTCTACGTACAATACAAGTAGAATGGTAGCCCCAGCAGCGTCCAATCGGTAAGAGTGACCTATCAGCAGATTGCGGAAAGCTTAGGCATTGGTATAACTCAAGTACAAAAAATACTACACTACGATTTAGGGGTCAGAAAAATTTATACCAGAAACGTCTTCGCATGGATTGGTGTCGGGATATATTACAAAAGATCAACGGAGGTGACTCTATGCCGTATTGATATTTGACCTCGTCACAGGCGATGAAAGCTGGATTGTTGTTTATTGATTAGTTGGATATTGCTACGAAACCGAAACCAAACGACAATCTGCTCTGTGTTTTGAGGATCGATAAACTAAAGGAAAGAAAAGAAGAAGTCAAGAAAATTAGTTTATGAAAGAAGAAAGAAGAAAAGTTATGATCTTCTAAGAAATTTAAGTGTGACCGACGTAATAACATTACAAGAGTACGTTATTTTGAAGAATAGCTTTAAACAGTCTCCTTTGGTATCTTTCATTTAAACAAATTGTTAACAGATGAGCATTATCAAACATTCTTTATATTGAAACGAAACTTTTTTTCTGAAATCACTAACTTTATTCTCAATACAGACG